GTCAAAGGGGAGGTCGCCATGCTCCTCTCAATCAAACACATCAAAGAGGTGAAGTACCCGACATGGTTGGCCAACGTCGTCCTCGCACAAAAACCGCCGACATTCAGGATGTGTGTTGACTACACTGACCTGAACAAGGCGTGCCCCATGGACCCGTTCCCTCTCCCCAACATTGATCAGCTGGTGGACGAGACGGCGGGGCGCGAGTTGATGTCGTTCCTCGATGCTTTCAGAGGGTACCACCAAATCTCCATGCATGAAGATGACGCTGAGAAGACGGCATTCATGACCCCAGAGGGAATCTTTTGCTACCTCGTCATGGCCTTCGGACTCAAAAACTCCGGCGCCACCTATACTAGGATGGTGGCCAAGATCTTCAGAACGGTCCTTGGCCGAACGATGGAGGCGTACGTCGACGACATGATCGTCAAGAGCAGGCAGGGCACCTCCCACGCCGACGACCTCCGGGAAATCTTTGAAATAATGAAGGAATTCAGGCTCCGCCTTAACCCCAAGAAGTGTGCCTTCGGCGTTCAGGGCGGCAAGTTCCTCGGCTACATGGTCAGCCGGAGAGGCATCGAGATAAACCCGGAGAAGACGCAGGCCATCATCAACATGGAGCCTCCCCGAAACGTCAAGGAGGTACAGCGACTGACGGGGCGCCTGGCGGCCTTAAACCGGTTCCTCTCCAGGTCCGCCGAGAGGGCACTCCCCTTCTTTCAGATAATGCGAAAAGCCAACAGCTTCAAGTGGACGACGGAGTGCCAGGAAGCATTCGATGAATTGAAAAGGTACTTGTCGTCCCCACCCGTGCTCTCCAAGCCCAGAGCCGGCGAAACCCTCTTCTTGTACTTAGGGGTGAGCACGTCGGCCATCAGCTCCGTGCTCATCCGTGAGGACGAAGGGGTGCAGAAGGCCATCTTTTACATCAGCAAGACACTCAGGGAGGCCGATCTCAGGTACTCCCCCATTGAGAAGACGGTGCTGGCCATCGTCCACACAGTGAAGAAGCTGGGGCACTATTTCCAAGCCCACACCGTCCATGTGCTGACCCAGCAGCCTCTTGGCGCACTCATGAGGAGCCCCACAAGCTCCTCGAGGATGGTAAAATGGGCGATCTTCCTCAGCCAGTTTCAGATTGAGATCAAGCCAAGGCCATCCATCAAAGGGCAAGCCTTGGCCGACTTCGTCATTGAATGCACAGCAAGGGAGACGGCCGTCGCCAACCCTGGGCCGGAGCCGGACGACACATGGACCCTGTTCACTGACGGCTCGTCATCCGCGAAATCATGCGGCGGCGGCGTCGTCCTCATATCCCCTGAAGGGTTCAGAGCTTACTATGCCATCCGCTTCAACTTCAGGGTATCCAACAACGAAGCCGAGTATGAGGCCCTCCTCAGCGGTCTCAGACTCGCCGCCGGCCTCAAGGCCAAACACCTCAAAATCAAGTGCGACTCCAAACTGGTAGTGGGCCAGGTGGAGGGATCGTACGAAGCAAAGGAAGGCCGGATGAAGCAGTACAAAAAAGCGGCGGAGGAATTGCTGAAAGCGTTCGAAACCCACGAGATCACTCAGATCCCAAGGGCCGAGAACGCTGAAGCCGACATTCTCTCTAAGCTCAGCTCGGACACCCCGGAGCACATCTCCCAGTTGGCCAAGATCGAGGAGTTGAGCATGTCCAGCATCCATGCCAGCCCCGTCTTGTGCGTCCAACAGCGACCAGAGGACTGGATCTCTGACATCGTCACCTTCATCACAACGGGGGAGCTGCCCCCGGACGAGGAGAGGGCCAAACTTGCCAAACTCAAGGCCCCAAGCTACACCATAGAAGATGGCAAACTCTACAAACGGTCCTATAATGGCACTCTCCTCCGATGCCTGCACCAGGACGAGGCCGACACAGCCATGGAAGAAGTTCATTGCGGCGTCTGCTCCTCACACCAGGGCCCTTTCAGCATGTCCCGGCGTCTCGTCGTCCAGGGCTTCTTCTGGCCGACGATGGCACGCGACTGCGCTGACCTGGCCAGGAAGTGCACCACATGCCAGGTACTCCAGAAGGCCCCTGGTCGGCCAGCTGTCAACTATGCCCCTGTCAGCACCGCGATTCCATTCTCCAGATGGGGGATTGACCTGGTCGGCCCCCTACCCAGAGCCACCGGGAACAACCGCTACATCATCGTCGCCGTCGACTACTTCACCAAGTGGGTCGAGGCGGAGCCCTTGGCCAGCATCACGGGGGCCAGATACCAGAAATTTGTTTACAAGAACATCATCACACGCTTTGGCGTCCCCCAGGAGATCATATCAGACAACGACACCCAATTCGAGGCAGCCCCTTTCCAAGAGCTCCTCCGGGAGTTTGAGGTAAAACATCGTTTCTCCTCCGTTGCCTACCCTCAGGGCAACGGGCAGGTCGAAAACGCTAACAGAACAATTATGGAGGGGTTGAAGAAGAAGCTCCAGGCCGCATTAGGTAGTTGGGTCGACGAGCTCCCCAACATCCTGTGGTGCTACAGAACCACGCCGAGGAGGGCGACAGGTGAAACACCTTTCGCCCTGTGCTACGGCTTTGAAGCAAAGGCGCCCACGGAAGTTGCCATCCCCAGCCGACGGGTGGAACAATATGAGCCTGACACCAACGAAGAAAACATGAAGATTGACCTACACCTGGTTGACGAGAGGCGTGAGCAAGCTTACGTCCGAGCAGAGAACTACCGGCGTCAAGTAAAATCATACTATGACGCCAAGGTACGTTCCCGGGAATTTCAGGTAGGGGACTACGTCCTCCGCCGGAGGGAAGCAAGCCAGCCAACAGAGGGTGGCAAGCTAGCATTGAAGTACGAAGGGCCCTACATCGTCAGTGTCGTGGTCAAACCCGGCACCTACAAGCTTAAACGCCCGAATGGGTCCAATGTACCACGAACATGGAATGTACACCATCTGGTGAAGTTTTATCAGTAATCCGAAGGAGGTGCAGACGGCGAAGCCCTCACCCCTTAACGGGTTACTGATTGAACGCCACCCTCGGCCTCGAGCCACTCATGAATAAAATCATGTTCTGATTTTTCCCCCGGAATTTAAAGTAAAACATTAGCAGGTGCCTCCGTCGGCCACCTTAGAGCGAAAGGCTCAGGCATGGCCGACATGGCCCCTTGCATTTGAAGCCTACGAGCAACAAGCTCAGACACTCCATTGTATTTTGTATCAGCGAAGGGCTCAGGCCTAGCTGAGAGAGCACATCGTCCTGGCCCCGTAAGCCTAGAAGCGAAACGCTCAGGTATGGCCGACGATGTCCCCAGGACGAGGGGCCCGCAAACGGCCCACGTCTTGAAACGGGAAGCTCACCGCGTCGTCCACGCGCCAGATCGCAGGACGATAGGCCTGAAATCATGGCCGAGGTGACAAAATCCCAAAACTCAGGGATGGGCAACGACAGCCGTTGGAAACCGACCAAAAGTCTAGCCCGCGTCATAAATAGGCGACGGGACCCGCCCTGAGATCACGGACGTTATAAACGAAGTCCGAACCGGCTGAAGGACGAGCACACCCTTCGGCCGAAGCCTGAAAGAAGGATACCCCCCGAAACGGAAAAAAAAATATATAAGGGAAAAAGAGGGAAGCCGACGGCCGTGCACACTAGCCGGCCTCGAGCAAAGAAAAATAAAATCCCCACAATTCAGGCCCATTTTGGCCAAGTACATATCAGTTGAACACAAGTATAGTACCACAAACAGGTAACATGGACGACACGTCCACGCACTACAAGGGAATGATCAAGGCCGACACACGCCTATAAAACCCTAACCGCATCGGTTGGGTGACAAGCAAGAGGTGACCTTCATCGGCCACAGTCCTTTGAAGCACCAACGCTTGGTATGAAACAAAGAATCACAATCCTGAGGATGACCAGGACGAAGCGGGCACTGCACACACCCGCGGAAGAATCAAGCAATCCTTACTTGCCACAACAGCCAGTATAGCCGATACAGGCACTAGAACCAAGGCTGTTGGTCAAGCGAAAGTTCTCTGGGAATTGGTTCAAGTGTTTACCAAACACTTAGAAAAAAATCCTGAGAAAAAAGAAAAGAGGATTCCTCAACAAGGAACCATGGTTGGCCGACGAAGGTAGGACCACCTCCTTGGCCGACAGCGGTACCGCAAAGGAGTAAATGCCCAGCATTTACACTTGGAAAATTCTCTAAGTACTCAAGTGGAAGAACTCTGGACGAAGCGGGTACATATATATTCCAAGGCCGTTAGCTACCTACGCCTTGCATATGTACTTGGGAAAAATTCAAAGTCCAAAAGACTAAGGTGAAGGTGCCCTTATCGGCCACAACACAGGAATGCAGGCCGACAACGACACTGGTTCAACACTTGGCAAATCACCCAAACCATCTGCCAATAATGGGGAGAGACTCAGCGCCAGGACGGAGCGGACACCACGGTCAAGGCCGGAAGGAAAGCACCTAAGTGGATCCCAAAACACTTAGAAAATTTTTGAAAAAATTCCTAAGTGTTATGATACTGCATCAACACCGGTCAGGCCGACAAGGCCACCAGGCCGAAAGGGAAGCAACTACAAGAATCCAAAACACTTAGGAAATTTTTGGAAGAAATCCTAAGTGTTATGATAGTACAGAAACGACGGTCAGGCCGACCAAGCCACCAGACCGGGAAGAAAGCAGCTTAGTGAGCCCAAAACACTTAGGAATTTTTTGAAAAAATTCCTAAGTGTTATGATAATAAAGCAACGACAAACAAGCCGACCAGGCCACCGGACAGGGTGGGCTACCTCACGGACGTAGCGGACACTCGCGGGTGACCCAAGTTATGACCTTGCCACTTAGACAAATTTTAGAATTGAAATGACAAAAGGCAAACAAGCATACAAGGAATTGAAAGCCGATCAGGACAGCAAAAAACTTTTCACTCATAGTGAGTTCATTACAATTGGGGGCACTTCGGCCGTTACATCATTTGGCAAAAAATTGAAAAGCTAATTACAACAGGGAATAGCCGATCAAGCCTCCGGGGCACCTTCATCCGCTGCTGGCTCTTCAACCTCGTCGGCTCCCTCCTCGGCGGGCTCTTCGGCCTCGTCGATTCCCTCCTCGGCGGCGGCCGCAGCGCTAGTGGCATCGTCCAGGAAGTCAAATTCAGTGTAGTCCGGCTCGCCGAGGCCGGAACTTTCAATTGGGGACTCCCGCTCCGACAGAGGAAGCTTGGCCTGCTCCTCTGGATCCTTCATCAGCTTTGGCAGCTTCAGGTTCCGCCTGGCCCACCCGGACGTGTAGTTCATGGCTTTCAACGCACGGGATAGCCGACGACACAGGAGCCTTTGCATCCGCTCCTGGCCCATGTTGTAATAGACGGCCATCTCCCTGCTGAAGTACTCCTGGCCGGCGGGGGAGTTCATCCCCCAATCTTCAAGCCTGGCGGCAACCACTTCGTAGCACCAGGGAAGCCTCTCATCGGCCTTCCACCCCTCGGCCAGGAACTGCTTAACGGCCTCATCAGCAGCCCTCACGACGGCGGCCTCGGCCTCATCTTTCGCCTTGACGGCCTCCTCGCTCTTGCGCCTCTCGGCCTCAAGCGCCCTTTGGGACTCCTCGAGCTCCCTTTTGCTCTCCTCGAGCTTGGCCAGGGCATCGTCCCTGGCTGTGGCGGCTTCATCAGCCCTTGCCTGCAACGCCTTGGCATCCTCCCGGAGCCGATCAAGGCAAGCTACCGCCTCGTCGGCCGAGGCAGCCTTCTGCTCCAGCTCTTTCAAGCGAGCTATCTCCCTATACTGCCTCTTATGGCTTTCCATAAGCATAAAGGCACTCTGCAGAAGGAAAACAAAGGTCAGGCAAATGACTCTACACAGACGAAGAGAAAGACAAAAACATAAGGAAAGTAACTTACTTGGACGAGGAGGTCCATGCCGCCCTCGTAAATCTTCACGTCCCCGAGCTTCTTCAAGTAAGCTCGATCTTTGGCCGGCATGGCCTGGGCCAGGATGACGTGGCCAGGGACGACATCATCAAACACGCCCCCGTCGACGGGATATTCTACCATCTTCTGGTAGGTGGTACCGGCAATCTCCTTGCCGGCCCTCTTCGTCCGTGGTTCCTGGACGAGAGGAAGCGATGGGGCAGCATTGTCAGCAGCAGTGAGGTCCACGACGGGACCACCATCGTCCACGCTGGGGACAGTCAGAGTACCGGCCTCAGTAGCCGGAGAAGGGGAAGGAGCCCTCTTCGTCTTCTTCGAGACGCTCAGGCCGGCCTCAGTTAACTTTTTCTGGCCATCAGTGGCCGGCCTTTTCTTCTTCGATGGAGCAGGCTTTGGGGCCGCATCAGCAGTAGCCCCGCTCCCACCGGCCGCGGCACGTCTGGTCGCCTCGGCCGCCTTAGCAGCCAGCTCCTCGGCCGCTTTGGCCTTGGCAATAGCCATCATAGAACGTCGGTCCATGGCAAAATCTACAAAGGAAAAACACAACAGATTAGTAAGGCAAAGGACAAAACATAAAGACAGAAAGCCGAAGAAAGAATTACCATCGGCCTCAGCAGGAATGCCCAAATCCGGGCCGTCGGCCTCCTCAAAGGTGGTGGTCATCCTCGGCCAGAGTTGGAGGTCATCCTCCTTGTCACCATAGACATAGTATCTCAAGAAGCCGAGGGCGGCCATCTTGTATTCAGTAATGTAATCCTTCACGCTCCTCGGCCCCCCTTCCAAGAAAGCCTCCACCTGAGCGTCCAAAATAGAGCTTTTTGGCGGGTCATGCAGGTTAAACCTCCCGGTGTGGCCGAGGGAGGGAAACTCGGTGCCACTCTCACCAATGGACACAAACACGAACTTGCTCTTCCACCCATGAATGGACGTAGGCAAATCCGTGAAGCTCCTCTTCTTCGGCAGCTGCTGAAGAGTAGCATAGGCCGCACAGTTCTTGTGACTTCCTCGGCCGATCTGGTACAGATTCATGAATAGTGCCGTCGTCGGCCTGTAGCCCAACTCCTCACACCGGAGCAAAAACCCCACCATCAAGGAGTAACTGTTCGGCGTCAGCAAGGCCGGAGGAAGCCCTACCATGTCCAGGTACTCAGTAATGAAAGGGTGAAGGGGGAACCTCAACCCCTTAGCAAAACTCATCGGGTATACTCCAAAGTACCCCGGTGGTGGAAGAAGAACATGGTCCGTTGGCTTGGGTGCCCTAACCCGCCCGAACGGCCCCACGTACATCTGGGCAACAAGATAGTCGGCCGCACTGCTCTCCGGCTTGATCAAATAGATGTTGGTGAGATCCAGGTAGGAGATGCCGGGCCCACTCTTCGGCCTCCTCACTCTCTTCGGCTTAGCGGCTCCCTTAACGGCGGACACCGGCCTCGGGCACGGAATGACAGCAGAAGTGGACGCCCCGTCCACCACTCGGGACGCACCTACGTCCTCACCCTTTGAAGAGGAGGCGGACTCCTCGTCCTCGCCTTCCTCGTCCACCGGCTCTCCGGATTTGTAGGGACTTAAACGCTCTATCTCCTCTTCAAACTCCTCGAGCACCTCGTAGTCAAGCGACCTCGTGGAGGGCTGGTCGTCGTAGGGGTAGTCGTCTTCGTTCAAGCTCTTCATAACTACTACTACGGGCCTAAGGAGACTAACTTAAGATCTAAGGGTGTTCAAACGCCTAACACTAGATCAACAACCTAGGAAGCAAAGTATGAAAAGTGAGGAAGATCGCGATGAACACTAACCTTGAACAACGAAGAACACGAAGAACAGGCTTGGGAGTTTATCTCTCTAGAAAATCGGCCAGCACTTCGACAAATTCAGAATGCAAATACGTTTTCTCGTCGGAGGGGGAGGGGTATTTATAGAGCTCCCCACCCAACGGTCACTACACGTGGCACCCCCCCAATGGCCACACCAACGGCCACCAATGGGGGGCCACCACGTCACCACGGGCCAAACTCAATATCAACAGCCCACTAGCAGGACGGACTCTACGGCCTTCACACGCTCACTGGCTTTACAACATGTCAGCAGGCGCCCACAACGTCCCACTTGCTCGCCAAGATCACAACTGCCAGACACTAAGGAGACTGTAACGGCCACAAGATCACAGGACCCAAGAGCCCACAGGCCATCGGCTCCTCGTCATGATCTTTGATGATAACTCTCTACAAGCGATCTGCGCACAAGGGTTCTCCCACAGGGTTACCTTGGCCAGAAAATCGCCATGAGAGTTGGATTCAGGGGGACTACGGGGAGGCCGCTTCGGCCAGGGACTCAAGCAACTCCTTCACCCCTCACACTCCTCGGCCTGAAGCAGTGGGGGACTGGGGGACTACACCGGCCTCAACAAAACGAAAGAAAATGCAAACAAGGTAACCACAGAGCATGGCCACATCGGCCACGCATCACACTGCACCTCGTCGACAGAAGGCACACAACGTCATCTGCAACGGCCAACGGGCCACCAAAGGCAAGGACACTCATCGTCCTCCGCCATCACTTAATCACGAGGGGCTCTTCGGCCAGAAACATGAAAGCTAATCAATGACGGCCAGAAGGAGTGCGCAAACACCCTCATCGGCCATCCAAAGGGAAAGACGCCATCGTCCTCGAAGCAAGGACCAACTTCAGTGGCCTCATCGGCCCAAACACAAACTTCAACCATCAGCGCCCAAGCGAAACATGCCTTCAACGGCCACCATTGAAGGAAGGACACTCATCGTCCCAAAACGAAGACATCAAGTAAACAACGGCCTCCCTGTCCACAACGAGGAACAGGTAACGGCCAAGGACAACAAAGCACAGGAATCTACTCTCCTTCACTTCGTCTACGTCTCAGCTTAGAGAGTGGGGGACTCCTGATGGAGTATATGGGTCTGAGCCCCCGGACCCACATACTCGGAAGAACAGAAAGCACAAGACAACAGAGTGGCGCCCTCGTCGGCCAAGACGCCCCCGTCGGTCGAAAAGGGGCCAACTCAGATTATGGTCCTGAGCCCAAGGAACCCGGGTGCCCTCGTCGGCCACGCCCTCGTCGGCCACGAAGACCTCCCAGAACCAGGTTTTACACTTACTCATTTGTACAGCCCATTAGTGGCTTTGTATTCGGCCCAGTAGCGGTCCAGTTGTAAATGGGCCTCCCAAGCCCAAGGCTTGGGAGCTCAACCCTAATTTTCTCTATAAATACTCCCCTTGGGAGTAGTTATGGGGGTGAACGAATTCATTCTATTGAAGCATATTATTGCACTTCTCTCTCTAGCTCTCACTTCTCTCTAGATATACTCTATCAACACCCAACAAAGAAGACTGTTGTGGAGTTAACTTACAAAATAAATTAGCGGGTGTGCATGAGAAATTGAGAATAACTTGAATTGAAGATTGTTTATTCCTTAATCACCTATAAGAAACAGTTATACGGTTACTTTGGGCATGAGTCATTCTCAATTCAAGTTATTCTCAATTTCTCATGCACACCAGCTAATTTATTTTGTAAGTTAACTCCTTTAATTAAATTCGCTATTGACAACACGCTAAATAACAGGGCTGCTAATAAATTTGGAAGCCCCGGTTCCAAATGAAAAATTGAGGCCCCCTAAAACAACAAAATTACGAGTTTGTACAATGAAATACATGTAGGCTAGACAGTTCAATGAAATATAAGTTTTATGATGTTTAAAGTGCACAAATTAGAGAATCTAAAAATTATATACCTGTTGGAATCTTGAATAATACATAACATCTATAAAAATATACTTATAACTAATATTACATTCTAAATTTTTGAAGGCCCCATACATGAGTGGACCCCGGTGCCAAGCACCTATTGCACCTCCTAAAAGACGACCTTGTCGCTAATATAATCTGCTATTCATTAACCGCTAAACGCTAAATATCAAACACATCCTATATGTAAAAAGCCGATAGTTTTTATATATAGGCATGTTTTCCCTAAAAAATGATCAAACTCTAAAAATTAGTTTTTGTAAGCATATAAGCTGTGTAATCTAATAGTAGTAATAAAAAGCAATATAGTATTATTTGATATTCCCTCCGTCCCATTGGACTTTGCCAACTTTCCATTTTTGGTTGTCTCAAAAAAATTTGCCACTTTTCTATTAAAGCAAGTAATTTGTGGTTTTGCACACATTTCTCTCTCCTCTGCACAAATCTCAACTACACAGTTTTTACAATTCTTATTTCTCACTTACTTTGCACTTGGCAAAGTCCACCGGGACGGAGGTAGTATATGTTTTTTGAAAACTACTACCTCCGTCACTAACAAATTTTCCAAATTGACTTAATTTAGTCAATGTTGGTAAAGTTTGGTCAAAATGTTGGCCGATAGTTCTTATTTATTTGATTAAGCGGTGTGTAGTAGCTGTTTTGACTTTTGACTTTGTATTAGCAGTTTAAGATCGTTTGATAAAATTAGTCGGGGAAATACACTAATAAATTGGATAAAAATAAGGTTATAGACCTTTTTCCATGAATATTACTAAATTAAATTCAAAAGACAAAAATATGATTTCTCTTAAATTTTCCAAAAAATTAAAGAAACATATGCAGTGATTAGTTCTCGGTCTCTTTATTTAACAATGACTTGTCACTCTGGAATACAGTACAATGACTCTTGTACAGTTACTCGTACACGGTGACTAGTCATATTTTTGTCCAAAAATATAACTAGTCACACTTTTGTCTGGGCAAACACTATTAGGGTACGTTTGGTTCGGGGTAATCATCTATGCAGGCCGGAATCTGATGCCCGGAATGTGAGATGTCCATGTTTGGTTCACGGGTTTGAATTTTTTTGGAATGTTATATTCTCAAATAGAAAATAATGGAGTGACATGCCTAGGAATGTCAAACCCATATACCTCATAGGTTATCTTACATTCCCCCCTCCTTGATTATAATTTTTGTTCAAAACCTACTCATGCTAATTTAATTAGCATTCTATAATAGCTCTTGAATCCTATTCAGGTCTCCTATCCAATCAATTTTGTCCAATTTTTTTCCTTTTCATTTTACCAGAGTCTGCTAAATCAAGCAATTGCTCCCTCTAAATTTAATCTGTAATCCTCTTTAATCTTCTTTTGATTATTCTTTAATTTTCTTTTAAATCTATTTCAATTTTCTCTCCATTTTTTCAACACATTGTGTTGTTCTTTGGATTTTTCTTTAACCTTCTAATTTTCTTTGAATCATAAGCAGATTTAAATTTGCTTTTCTTATAATGTGCGTATCGTTCTTAAGAATTTAGTTCACTCTTTTGCTAATTTGAAAAGAGAGTTTAGCAAAATTAAGTGGAGCAACATTGGCTTGTTCTTTTTATACAACTGCTTTGGTAATGATAAATTCAAATTTATTTATTAATGTATGTCATTATCTATTTATTTAAACAAAATTGTTTTTTAATGTTCACTTATCTTTCTCTTTGGGTGCAACATCCACAATGTATCTTTCAGTTGTACAATTAATCATGAATCGTTTAGTTTGGATTTTTTTAATTGTTAAGGAATTTAATTTTATTCTTTAATTTGAGTTAGTTTAAATGCAGGTTGTAATGAGTTTATTGTGCTAAGAGAAAATCACTAAATCTGTAGTATAAGATATCAATCAGCCAAACAAACTAATGTGATATTGCCTTAGTCTTAACCAAACATAAATGAGACGCAATTAAATACATTCTCATCAGTCTAACATACCCAGCAACCTGACATTCCCAAAGTAATCTAACATTCTATGAACCAAACGGGACCTTTGTAATATACATGTCATTTCCTAAAAATAATAATGGTAAAGATTAAAAAAATTTAACTACCCACAAGTATAATATATATGTTTTAGTTCCGTAAAATTAAATTTTTGTTTTGAAATTACAATTTTACTCTTTTAAGCCCTCTTTAACCGTATTTGATTCAGAATAAAAGTCTCAAACAACATAGCTTCATTGTAAGAGAGTGAGAAGTCCATCGTAAGAGGTAGGGATGGCACCCGAGCGGATTGGGGGCGAGTACACATAAAATCGAAATCGCCCCGTTAGGATAAATATTTGCTCCGAAACCGCCCCATTATCCGTTCGGGTAATTTTTATTTGAATCGTAACCGCTCCAACGGGGAATCGATTTATTCACGGGTAACCGTTTGCCCAAATGATACCAAATAACCAATTTTTAATCCTACTTGTTAATGTAAACATCATTCGTGATAAATTATAAATTATATATTCAAAGCACCATACAACATACGGAGTACAAAAATAAATATTCAAGCAATCAAATAGTTTTAGACCTAAATTAATTAGTATGACAAGCACTCAATATCTCTTGTATTATAATAAAAAAGTAGTAATCATCCCAGAATCTAAATTCAATAAACAAATTTAAACAATTTTAGGCCTAAATTTAGTTTGAGCTCTAAAAAGTAGTAATTTGTCTCACAAAACAGTTTTATTAGGCCTAAATTCATTACACCATTAAATTAACTATTAGTTAGGGATATTAGGGTTTTTGAAGTGGGCCTCTAGTGTATTATTCTTTATATACTTATATGGTATATAAAGAGTTTTTTCCCGGAATAATGCTAACTAAACAATTAATTCCCACAATATTACTGGGTTACAAATAATTCCCAAAATACTGTTGGATTAACCGTGGTTAAACAAAGCCGACACTTGAAGTGACCGCTTTTCTCTTGCTGTACAAGAACCGCCACTTGAAGTGACGGCTTTCCCAAAGAATACTTACGCAACTTAGCAACGCCAAAGAGAACAACGGTAATGGGCCCCACCCAAATTAAAAATCTTCTCTTTTCTTTGAAGTGTTGTAACTTTTTTATTTGTATTCTGATTGTTACAAAAAATATACCAAAATTCATACTCCCTCCATCCCAAAATGAACTTCACAGTCACTATTCACATGGTCAACTTAAATTACTCTTAATCTTATGTTTTATATATCAATTTTTATCAAATTTATATTCTTTTTATCAGCCTTTGTAGCAGTTTTAATGTAGTTTCTCAATATGTAAATTTTATTTACTAAAAGTAATCTGAGTATGAACAGGGATCAAGTTGCTTTATCGTCGGTCAAACATCGTAATCCGAAATGGGAAGTTAATTTTGGGACGGAGGTAGTAACTTTTTATTCTTTCATATGACACCAATATTGAATATGTAAAATCAAAAAATAATTTAACACTCTAAAAATTACTATGTATATGTTTTTAAAGTGTTATATATTTTTTATTTCTATTCCGATTATTACAAAAAATATATCATACATTTCTTATTTTTTATTATCTTTTATAGGAAAGCAATGTTTCATATAGAAAAATTAAAAAAAAATCTATTAATTTGTGTAGTTTAGGATCGTTATTACCATGCACTCTGGATTTTTAAATATTCAATATTGGTGTCATATGAAATAAAACAGTATAAATTCTCATGCGAAAAATAAATAAATAAATGTGATGGAGTTTGTGATTTTATTTTAATCTATCACTCTTGATCAATTGTGTGCATGATAAAAACGATTCTAAACTACACAAATTAATATATCTTCTTTTTATTTTTCTATATGAAACATTCTTTTCCTATACAAGATAATAAAAAATAATAAATTTTGATATACTTTTTTGTAATAATCAGAAAACAAACAAAAAATATATAGCGCTTTTAAAACAAATACGCAGAAATTTTAAAGTGTTAAATTATTTTTTGATTTTATATATTCAATATTGGTGTCATATGAAAGATAATAAAAAGTTATGACTTTTGGTATATTTTTTGTAGTAATCAGAGTACAAATAAAAAAGTTACAACACTTCTAAGAAAATAGGAGATTTTTAATTTGCTTGGAACCCATTACCATATGTTGTTCTCTTTGGCGTTGCTAAGTTCGTAGTGTTCTTTGGGAAAGTCTTCACTTCAAGTGGCGGTTCTTGTACAGTAAAACAAAAGCCGTTAGTTCAAGTGACGACTTTGCTTAACCACTGTTAATCCAGCAGTATTTTGGGAATTATTTTTAACCCAACAGTATTTTGAGAATTATTTATTTAGTTAGTATTATTCCGGAAAAAATCTCGTATATAAAGAGTTAGCATATATGCTTATTATTCTTATATATAAAGAGTTATAATTTATTAATAATGTTACGAATGGTAATGGTGCGGGTACCCGCACCATTAGTGAACGAGGCGATTTCGGGGCGGATAACGAAACGGATTAGTATAGAACCATAACTGCACCATGTAGTCACAAATCTCTCTTTTTTACATAATCGAGAAGATCCAAACTGAGAAGACAATTTTTAGTTTTCAGAATTGTCTCTATACATTGACAACAATCAATTGCTCTCAAGTGGTTCACTAAAGGCACTCCAACCATCATGTTGCTATGGCATGATTGAAGCCTTTGTCATTTGAAAGATATGAACCTGGGACTTTTGGGCACAAGATTAATAATGCCCCTTCTCACCCAAAGGGATATATTCCCTCTGTTTCCTTTTTTAGTTGCCAACGCACGTTTTTTACCGTAATTATATCTTAATTCTATTAGTAAGAAAAATATTAAAAATCGGATTTTTAAAATTTGTAATGAGATGAATTGAACAGTATTTTTTTAAAAAAATATTTTTCATAAAATAATAGCGTAAAATGTAATCAAAGTAAAACATGTGAATAGTGTAAAATTCAACATGTTGCGATTAAAATTGCATCGATACATATGGAGGTATGTGCAACATTTAGATACGATACTGTTATCTGATATCTGTACACCGACAAATTGACCGGCGTATAAAATAGTGTGTACAATGACGTGTAAACAAAGATCATTGTTATTTTTATCCACATGCACTGATGCACGAGTTGAATAAGTTTGTACTACCTCCTACTCCATAGAACTTTCTAATTTGAATGGCAAACACTAAAGGAAATATTAGGTTCCAATTGACATCGAGAAATGACATTTTTTTTACCAAGTGCAAGTATTACTGCAAAGCAACCTATTTTGATGTTGCTTAACATCCTCTGATTGTATACGTATAATAGTCTTACTTATTTAGTTTTTCGTTTTTTTACTTTTACTCTTTTACCAATATGCCATCCATTAATCTTCTTAGGTTGTTGTAAAACAAATTTTTTGTTAAGAAGATTTTTAAGGTAAAACAAATACTGTCGCATCACACAACTACGGAGTACCTTTTTCTACACCCCTCCAAACTTGACATCAAAAATTATTTTTTTATGTAATAGATATACAACTAATACAAGTCCAGTCCCATATTTGATCCAACTGAGCATAGGAATCACATTAGTAAATCTTTTGGCATAGGAATCACCTATATTAATATGACAAAACCAGAATAGATTATAACTGTCTCCCCCAACTCAAACAATCTCTGCCTACAGATTACAAACTAGACAGAAATGGCCATCCGAAATCCAATCCAGAAATCAAAATGACAAACCACTTCAAGTGCTTCAAGATTTATTTACTTTAAAAGATATCATACTTCTACCAATCATCACAAAACGCCTTCCCGAAATCGAATCAGAAACAAAGTACCACATAAACAGGAAGTGACAACAAATGAAAACAGGCTCCAACTCACACAAAAAAAGAACTGAACCAAAACTAAATTAGATTTAAATATAACGATCAGGCAAGGAAAGCCCAGCTTCTGATCCTTATTCCACAAGAGTGTTCAAACTCAGAACACCCACTTGGAAGCCACCACCTAGCAACCTGTGAGCGCTCCGGTCTTTTCACCCTCCAACCGTACCGGTTGCCACCTCCTCGTCCTTATGGCAACCAACATCCTACGATTCTAGGCAGGCATAGCCAGCCTCCTAGTGTTTTTGCCCTTCCTGCTCAATATCTATCTCTCCAAACCTTAGTCATATCCACCTTGTGTAAAACTGAAACAAAAATCTTCAAGATCAAGATCACTGATTGTGGCTCCCTCAATCAGTCACCAAACGGATGCAACAACTCCTAACACAATTTTTATATCGTGTTTCCAATTTTTATACAAATATGTGCACACATTATTCATGCGAGGAATTGTTTTCAGAATAAATTAATTTCATTCACTATCTGTGCAATGCATGGATCGATTGACTAATAATGTTCATGAGTACTGTGGTTTGCTTAGTTACAAAAAGTAATAAGGAGTAACTTTTATTTAAATAGGATGACATTTACATACTTAATGACTAAATTAAAAGTTGATACCAAGTGCTTGCCAAATCAAAAGAGAGTTGTAAATTGCAATATAATGTAAGGACTATGTGGAGTACAGAAGAAAATTACTTTGCCATAAGATAAATCTGAAAAGATAATTCCATCAGATAAACACTAACTAGTGAATGACCATTCATGGGTGATTGGTGCTTTTTCTTTTTGTAATCGGCTCTTCTCCATTTATGGTTTGTTTGTTTTAAGGAAAAAGACAAGCTAGAAAGACTGAAGAAAGAGCACATTTTAATTGATTGGTAGGGAAAGAAAATAAGAAATACAAGAGGGAGAGCAAAACGTAGCAGTGTTATATGAAGGAGATTAACAACTGACATTTTAAAGGAAAAACAGCAACGCAAACACACTTTACTTTTGCTAAAAGGGGGCTGGCATGTACATTTTAACTGCCGAGCTAGTTTTATTGTTTAGGACTCGTGTAGATAGCGATCAAAGTTTGTAGATAGCCAGCAAAGTTTGGATTATTATTCTGCGTATCAACTTAATGCGTAGGAGACTTAGAGGGACTATACACTATCTAGTTCTGATGTGGTTTCGGTTACGAACCAGCCGGTTCCTGGTCACCGAAATTTGTAACACAAACCACCAGGGTGCAGTACATTACTGGTCGGTTCTGGCTCCCAATCGGTTCCAGAACAGAACTTACCAGCCATGGTTCCAGAACAGATTTTACCAGTCACGGTTCCAGTTTCAGAACCATTCATTGGTTTGATTTTGATAAGAACTCAACCAACACAGCAGGGAACTAGTATTATATTGATTAAGAAAACTGAAGGAGCACAGGTTTACACGCAGAGAAATGGCGGAAATGAAAAGAAAGAGAAACACATGTTGGGACACTTCGAGAGGTCCCGCTCTCCCAGCCCAATTCTCACAGAATTCCCGCCTAACTCTTAATCCTTACATAGCTTCTATTTATACCACTCTTAATAGTTAATATTACTTTTAATAACACTACCCTACCTGGGTCCCTATCATCTTATTATTATTATTAATCTGCCTGGGTTCCTACCAGATTTTTGGGCTGATAACCGCATTGTCTCAGTCCAGTTTCAGTTTAGAACTGCATCCATCCCAATAATAAATAGCTTTTGACTTGCTTATTTTGCTAAAATGGATGCAAGTCTGTACGAAATGTTTGTCTTTTACAAAAAAAACAGCACATTCAGCCATTTCAAGCTAAATAACTCTCGACAAACAGACCCTCAATCAAGCAAAACAAGTCTTGAAAAGGAAACTATGGCAACCATGTATTGCATTTATGGTTTTCAGAATTCACTTTTATAAGGAGATCAAACATTACTTCTTCCATTGGCATTTTATAAGGTATTAATATATAATACATATTTCCATCATTTGCAATGGAGCCAAAGATTCATTATTTTTTGGCTTGAGATTATGATGGAATAAAGCAAAATGGCTCACTAAACTGTCTGCGCTTCTTTGTTATGGAGAAGCAGTCAGTCCATGCAATTTTGGACGCGATTTTCACTATGGGTCATCCGGAAACAGTCTCTCTGTGCTTTAGTACAGGGGTAAGACTGCGTACATCCGACCCCCCCTTACCCCACCGTAGGTGGGAGCCTTTGCGGCACTGGGGTAAATGAAAATGATGAATTAATATATAATACATCACACCAATAAGAAACACACAAGCTTGGTTGTAAGATTGTCCTTACTTTTCAATAAAAACTAAGGTGATGTTATAATGTCTTATAGTCTTGATCTTGTGTCTTTCTTTCCAGGAATCTGCACTGCATCATAGTGTCCATAGCCATGATACAAGACCCTAATAGGATTATCTTTGCCATACTCTTGCCCGTATTCTGCAATTGATATTAGGCCACGATGCTTTTGGTCATACATGTACACTGTGATAGGCATCCTGCAGGTGAAAACTAAACTGCTTGTCAAGGGAATACATATACCAAATCCATTCTAAATCATAATGCATATTAACGCCTTGTTTGGTTGCACACTTCGACTTATGTAGAATAAGTATGTCTTTAATATATTTGGCTGAAATGGATGTTACCAAATCCATGTCTCTCATGAAAATAATAAGAGTACAAGACTTGACATTCTATCCGGAAAGGTGAAATGATTGGAAGAGTAACTGAATGCCCTATTTGTCTGTCTCCATTTTAACATTTTATCAATGTGGACGATTTAACCCCTCTCGTAATAATAGTTGTGCTTGTTCTTTAGGACTAGAGGGATTGAATAACTGATTTAAGCTTGATATACAATGAAATCATGTTAAAACTTAGAGTTCTATCCTTAAAGGTCAGGTCAACTTTATATGATAAGTAACTCAAAATCTTTGGTTTGTAATTTTATTTTTTATCAATATGGAATAACTTGCATAGACACACATGGATAATGGAAGAGAGACTTACCGGAGAACGTGAGAAGCCATTAACAATTCAGGTTCACCTCCCCATACATGAGACTTCCTCATCTGTGCAACATATTTGTCAAAATCACCTTCAATGAACCTGCAAGACGATAGTTGGCTGTAATTTGTGCTACATTTAATACCCCTCTAGAAGTATAATTGAAGTCACAGATGTAATGTGGTCAAATTAAAAGTGCAGGACAAAATTCCAAACCTCCACCATGTTTTGAGCACTAAGCTTAGAATTAACTTTAACAGAAAATTATAATTTTAAAAGATGCACTGTACTAACCATTCCGTCTGTTCACGTCTCCTGATAAATTCATCTGCCACCTGGCAATATAGGTATCAGCAGATTACAGAGAGACAACAGCAACTTAGAAATGTTTGTTTAAGTTCCTCTTCCTTTATTAGAACTTAGAAATGTTTGTTTAAGTTCCTCTTCCTCCCAGCAACTTAGAAATGTTTGTTCAAGTACTCATTGGTATTCATGATGTGATGAGAAAACTATTGTGGAAGAGTAACATCTTACAACTAATACATTTGCTGGGCGCAAATCGTAGATTTAGTGTAAAAGTTCTTAATAATGAAGCACAAGGAGCAACCATACTTTTTCTCTCAATTCATCCGCTAATTGCCTTTGAAGTTTTTCATCAGGGGCAACCTTTCCTGATCTTAAACAAGCTCCATGAGCAACAGAACGAAACATGCATCTCCCATCTCCAGGTATACCTGAATAGCATTACACTTCTTGTTATTTTACAAATATATCATTGAGAAAGGTCAAACACACTATTTTGGGAGGAAAGGGAAAAAAATCAATGTCATAACAACAAATAAGTTTTGAAATGTGATCTCACCAATGACAGAATAGTCAGTATAAACCTCCTTTCCTCCACGTAAAGAGTCAGACTCATCATCTTTACACTCGAAGCCTTTGGCATAAACGGGGTCAGAATTTGAACAGCAAACAAAAAGGAAGAAAGATGCAAAACACTTTTGCCACGTTATGAGTCCCATGTTACTTTGACGCTTTGCTTGACTAGGGATGAAGAACTTCATCATATCCATGTTGTGGGTCCCAGTTGAAATAGCAAGACAATCCTTCCAGGAACTTCGAAAGCAGATGGTAGGTATACTGGAGTTGGACTTGGATGATAAAATGGTTGCATACCTAAACTTTGAATGCCCATAGCCATAGGAGACTATATTTCTTCTTAAGCAGACTACACTTTTTACACAAGTTTTGCTAGGGGAACATAGCATCATATTGGCTTCAAGTACAGCTGCAAGAATACAAATAAAGCCAGAGATCAGATTGGATTCACAAAAATGAAATATGCTTGACAATAATAATCATCCCCCTTTTTCCTCAGAAGTATGAGGAGCACAAGTTTGTCCAGATGCATGTTAAGTCATTCTATATAGAATCAACCACAACAGCATTGAGTAGATTTATGGAGCACATTGGCGTGATGAATGACTAAGATTCATTCATCTATAATATCTATAGAATCCCGATCATTCATCATGGTAGCATGCTCCTTAGTGAGCACGCTCGCGTGCTCTATATATCTTCTCCAACAACATCCCAGCCTGTCTTATCCCTTAAAGAGTTTGCGATTGACTACCATGAATCAATACATGAAATCGGAGTTAAGAAGATAAAAAAAAGTTAATAAACAAGACAAAAAGGATAAATTGTCCGTACTAAGATCTAAGATAACCTTTTGTGTAGCTAGTTCGCCAAGTAGTCCCTACTCAGAAGTAGTCAATTTAGGTACTATAAGCTGCACTATAAAAACATCTAAATGTAAAATATATTCCTAAATCCCGTCAAAACTAACACAGAAGTAGCCCCATAAATTGCAGTAGCGCTATAGCCCGCTACAGCCGTTATTCTTCCCAATATAGAGCCTGTTATAGTGGAGCTACTGGCAACGACTACGCTATAGGCAATCTGATTGCGCCTAGCCCCCGCTCTGCTCCGCTACTCTGCTATAGCGCATTATTGACTTCATTGCCAAAAAATGCTCTCATGGTGGAGTTTGTTCCACATAGAATAAATATAAAAATATAAATCGACATATAAGAGCGTATATTAGTCATCCTATAAGGTTTGACCATTTTTCATCAAACCACAGGTTTTATAATGCAAATAGAAATACTCTCTCTAGCACTGTTCTAGAAATTTGAAGCCCTAGTCTACCTCCTAGAGAGGTCCCTAGGTCTTTATACAATGGTATTGCTAAACGTCTAATCTACTACTTGAATGTATATGTATAGAATTTTTAGACCTTACCCACCCACAGGGAAGTAAACTTCCATTACAAAACTAAAGTTGGACAATATCAAGAAATTCATCAGATCCCCAGCTCAACTGTCGTCAAGATGCAAGCAAGCACAATATAGTCCTTATATACGTACTTGTTTATTTGGGAATTGGTAGGGGCATAAATTGTAGACTATCAGTGTTCATTTACGTCCTAGCATTGCTAGTGTATTCATGTTCTTTTCATTTTGTCCGACTTCTGAAGGTACATAAACACAAAAAAAATCAGTAAAAATATTACACTCAGAAATATAATAGCAACCTATGTGATACTCCGTATATTGTAATATAAGAAGAGGAAAATTGGAAAAAGAATGGGCTACAAAGAAAACGCAACATTAAAAGAGAAAAAAATATGATGGGAAGATGGCCAACAATAAAGAAAATACCAGGAAAACAATATCGACAGAGATGAATAATAATTACTAAATTGCTGGATCAAACATCAACTAAGTGATAAGATAACCAGCAAGTAATGCAATGGAAGAGATGAATCACCCGCGTTGATGATTGATGGGGAGTGGGATATCACACCAGCTCACAGTCGCAGTTAGTCACCCTCACTCAGCCTCAAACTTGGTCTAATCATTCAAATCTCCCACGAAAACGAACAAATTTCTACCGAGCGAGTCCCTCAATTCTTTTTTAGTTGAAACTATAAACATTTCACAATTACTAAAGCACGTTTTTTACCATAATTATATCTTAATTTTATTAGTTAAAAAAATATTAAAAATCAGATTTTGAAAATTTGTAATGAGATGAATTTAACAATAATTTTTTTAAAAAAATAATTTTCATAAAATAATAGCGTAAAATGTAGTCAAAGTAGAGCATGTGAATAGTGTATTAGTGTAAAATTCAACATGTTGCGATTAAAACAGAACGGAGAATAGTATATTTTTACAGAAAAAGTGCTGAAAATACCAATGTAGGACCGGACAATACCCCATGTATATGAAAAATCAATATCAATATTTACTATCTGCACCCAATAATTTAGTGACATATGAAAATAATTACGGAGTATTATTTTATAAAATTAAATGCCATAACGTTTTCACTTGTGCTCCGATCTTTACAAAAAATATTTAAAAGTTAAGCAATTTTTTATGACATCTCAAATGACACTAATATTATATATGTAAATTTTTGAAAAACAAAAGTATTCCAATTTGGTCTATTTGTATCTGGAATGATATTTTTTTACTATTGTTCAAGTTTAGTCTCATTCGACAAGATCTATTTGATTCCAGTTTGATCTTATTTGATTTGTTTAAATTTAAGCTAGTTTGGGATCGAGATCAGTCTAATTAAAAAACATCATAAATATCTTTCAAGTATGCATGTTATTTTGACAGGAATTATTTTATTAGGAGACAATAATTTATAACTATAATAATATCAATAAAGATGTTTTTAATTGTATTGAAGTTTCTTGGGTTGGTCTGATCTAGCTGCTCTGTTTAAGTTTGGTCTGGTCTAGCTTAATCTGGTAGATTATACCGAAATCTAGTTTAGTCTGTTTGATTTAAGTTTGATATGTTTAAGCCTGGTTTGATATGGAATTAAAATGAATCCATTAAAAACATTCTAAATAGAGTAACTATTTTTTTCTTGTTTTTGACAATACAATGATGTGTTTGACAACATAAGACAATATTTATACTACTTCTTTAATACTTCATTTTTTAACACTTCTTTATACTAAGGCTTCCTTTTTATTTCTCCTTTTCTTAAAATTGTTAATAATTTTTTATTTTTGATCCGATTTTTATAAAATTTATATCAAAATTTTTTATTTTTCATGATTTTTCAAATGAGACCAATATTGCCTATGTAATTTTAATTTTTTACATTCATACATTTCTTTGTAATACTTCCTCCGTTCTTAAATAAGTGCAACAGTCAATATTTCACACTTGCCGAGACACAACTTTGACCATCAATATATATAATTCTCTATTAGTAAAAAAATTTAAAAAATTAGTTTTTGAAAATTTACAATGAGACAAATTTAATAATATATTTTTCAAAAAAATATATTAATACATCAATAAATAAAATGTAGTCAAAGTAGAACATGTGAATAGTGTAAAATTTCACATGTTGCACTTATTTCAGAACGGAGGTAGTATATTTTTATATGCATACACTTTTTCTATAATATATTTTTTTATCACTTTTATATGTTTTTAGAGGTTTTTAAGATATTGAGTTTGTTTATTTTGCTTCTAGCTTGGAGTTACATTTGATAATATACGAAGTTACATCATCTTATATTCCAGTTACAAGTTATTATGAGTGAGTTACATCTTGCTATACACGAGTTACATATTTTTATGCGCGAGTTACATCTTTTTATGTGTGAGTTACATCTTATTATACACGAGTTACATACTTATATGCGCGAGTTACATGTAATTATATGTGAGTTATATCTAATTATTTGTGATTTTTTACTTATCTTTATCTTGAACTAATTCAATTATAACTGAACTAATTTTTTTCTTTGCCAATTTAATACAAAATTTTATTAATCCACATAAAATAAGTATATTGTATTTCATATTCATACACTATTTTTCAAATGATAAAAATGAAAGATGTAGAAGGGGTTTATCTCATGGTGTAACTCACATACATTAAGATGTAACTCACGTATATTAAGATGTAACTCGCGTACAATAAGATGTAACTCGCGCAGAAGAAGATGTAACTTCATTATATATTATCAAATGTAACTTCAAAATAATTTGTTAAAATTACATAAGCAATATTGGTCTCATTTGATAGATCATGAAAAAAAAAATGATATAGAATTTATAAAAATCGGATATCAAATAAAAAAGTTATTACAATTTTTAACAATAAAAGAAATAAAAAATAATGGAAGCTACGTCGTTTTGGGATCGGGCGCACCATCCTCATGGTGCGTCGATCCCAGGATATAAATTGCCTCAAAATGGGGGCCGAAAAAGATTCATTGTTTTGAAACTTTGTTTCCTTCTATTACATTATTCGGAAATTATTCGGAAATGATGTAATTACATAAGGATCCTTAATAAAACGACAGTCTATAACTTAAAAACGATTGACTTTTGCGGTTTCGAAAAATGACTTCTTGGTCCCACGCCTTATTCGAACGTCCCGCACTTCATCATCCACTTCCAGTCACAACACAGAGCATCGGGCTTAGGGCTCAAGCATTCTTCGATTTTGAGCACAAGCATTCTTCGATTTCTACTTCAACTTTGACTACAAGCATTCTCCCATCTCCTACAATCACCATGAAGTGCAAAACTCCTACGATCCCTCTAGTGAAAAACCAAGCAAGACAGGGACTTGTGAAAGCATCTGAAGTGATGGAAGCCGCAGATGAACATGATATTCAGGTAAATGTTAGATTATTTATGCTTGAAAGCGATACTTGGTTCTTTAAAAAGCTATACATGGTAACTTCTCAAATGAAAGCTATACATGTTCATTTGAAACCGAACTAAACTAAGACGACCTAAATCATATTTGATTATTTTGAAAATGCATGACATGCTTCTCATTCATTTTTCTAACTAAACATACCTTTTATACAAGAATCATTGGTTAATCCGGTGTGAATTTCTGTAAAAACATTTGGTTGAACTAAACATACATTGTTCGACCAATCTTAGTCAAAACTGAGTTGTGAACCATTGGTTCGACCAGTATTTAGTCGAACAGTTGTTAAATTTTTTTATATGCAGGTTCCTTCCTTGCCTCCAATGGTGGACTGCTCGCTGTTCCCAAATATGAAGCTCATTGTAAGGCAAAATTTGGATGAATTTCAAGAAAAAATTATGTGTAAGCTTGGTGGATTTCCCAATCTCATGCATGCATTTAGAAGGAGTGTATTTGGGAAATACATTGATGTTTCTTTTATCCATGTTCCATTACTTTTGTGGTCACTCCTGTCTAGATTAGCCAAAATTGATAGGGACTCAGAGGCATGGTTTGTAGTGAAGGGAGTTCAAGTACGCTACTCTATCATAGAATTTGCTCTAATTAGCGGGCTTATCTGCAGCCCCCCTTGAGAAAAATTATGAAGATGATTTTGATCATGATTCCAAGTTCACATTCATTGAGATGCATTTTAGTCAAGATTTTGAAGGAGTTGTTAGCTATGAAATAGTTGTAGCATGATTTGAACAATTATGCAGAACTTTGAGGAACTCTGCCACTGAGTCGAGTTAGGGTCGGGTTGTATATTGAAAAAAATCATGATGGGCCGGGGCGGGGCGAGGCTTCTTAATTTTCGGGTTCGGGCAGTTCCTATATTTCTGGAAAAAAGGGTACCCACCCCGGACCAATTTTTTTAATAAAAACATCATGTTTTTATATTTCTAGTTAATATACTAAGTATACTTACTAAATAAGTAAATACACTAAAATTAACTCCTCTGCTAAAGAGTAAAGCCTCGACTCACGCTCCACAGACCTAAGTGCGAACTCAGAGATGGAGACGGAGCTAGGCCGTTGACGCTCAACACAGAGGCTAGTGACTGTCATCGTATACACTACTCAATCGACAAAGCTAGGTCGTCGGCCGTCGCCTTTCAGCTAGGAACGACTTTCAGGCTCCAATTTCAGGTTTTTAAAATTATTAATCCAATTTTATAGAGTATAAACTCCTAGAGAGAAGTGAGAGCTAGAGACAGAAGTGATTTGTATTAATGATTTTCCAACCCCTACAACTACTCCCAAGGGGAGTATTTATAGGGAAAAGCGGGTTGGACTCTCAAGTCTTGGGCTTAGGAGGCTCATTACAATATGAGCCCTGTATTGGGCTGATTACATTCAGATACATGAGCTAAGTATGGAAGTCTAGCAGATGAAGTCCTTGGAGACGTACATCTGGCTATGGCAGACGAAGTCCTTGGAGACGTACGTCTGGCTGTGGCAGACGAAGTTCTTGGAGACATACGTCTGGCTGTGGCAGACGAAGTCCTTGGAGATGTATGTCTGGCTGACGGAGGTGTGGCTGAAGTCCTATGCTTGACGTCGTACGTCCCCGGGGTGACTGTTACGTGCTGGAGGACGTACGTCCCCGAGGTCTTGCCATGTGGTTGAGGCCGTACGTCCCCGGGGTCTTGCCATGTGGTTGAGGCCGTACATCCCCGGGGTCTTGCCATGTGCTTGAGGTCATACGTCCTCGGGGCCTTGGTCCTGTTCGTAGTAGTGGAAGTATGTGGGTCATGGGGTCTGGACCCATATACTCCATCAGGAGTCCCCCACTCTCTGAGCTGAGACGTAGATGAAGCGAAAGGGAGTAGGTCTTTGTTGTCTTGATGCTTTTGGCCTTCAGATGATCATGTCAGGAACGTCCTTCACTTTGAGAACGGCGGTTGTACTTAAATATTATTTAAATATTTAAATATAAATATATAAATATATTATACATATTTATATATAATATATTTAATTATTAATATTTAATATAATACATTTATTTATAATATATTTATATATTTATATTTAAATATTTATATTTAAATATTGAATGCCTATTTGGTAATTCGGTTTTACCGATTACCAAACCGAATTTTTTTCGGTTTTAACCGAACCAACCCGATTTAGTTCAGTTCGGGATTCGG